AACTCTATAACTTTTGCAGAAATTCTTCTGATCGGACTACTATAGCCTTACAAAATGACCGATCGCAACCAAGCTCTTGTATGCAATKTATGATTTTATAATTTCGGTACAACCAAAAGTTAATGTTTTTTCGAAYTTAGTATATAGTTTTTTCGAAACGACTGACGACAACAAAAACATTTATTTCTTACCTTTCGCCGATCACCCTAAGATAAATGAACAGCGCATCTTCCTCTTGAATCTACATAGTTATGTATGCGTATATGTACTGTATGTATACTGTAGGTGTAGCCAGCCAGACTGATATACATACATATATGTATATACACATCCAAACATGTGGATATGCTCATATGTAGCAGCAAACATGTTGCCTAACTTTGGCTGAGAAAATGAGCTCAAGTGTCGACGGCGCACTTAATTAACAAATATACAAGCACTTAACATAACCTCAAATGACAGCARCAACAACAATAACAAAAGGCACGAACGCAAGCAGATTCATAAACATACCTACATACATACATTTATAGAGCATATGCATATATAAATGAGGAAGGGTACATACATACATACATACATACACGTGTACATAAGCTCATACAAACGAGACTGTTTGCGAGTTTCCGCACGATGTCCGCTGCAACATTGTTGATAACAACAAAAACCAATATGTATTTGCAATTTCAGCGAAATCATATGGAGAAGAAGAATATGGGAAGCGCAAGCTGATGACAGCAAAGAAAATATAATAATAACAACGGCAATAAAAATAAAGAAAATATTGATAAAAGCAAAAGCAGAAGCAGATGCATGTATGTATGTATGTTGCAATAATGCAAACAAAAATTACAAAMAAACMATAACAATAACAGCAGCAGCGGCGGTAGTGGTAGAGGATGTATTGGAAAAGCCATAGCAGATATAACAGGAGCAAATGAGCGACAACAAACACAAAATGTTGGCGAATGTACAAAAGCAACTAATTTATCGCCTTAGTTTAAAGAGAGTAACCCAGAATAGCAGTAACAATGTGAAAAGCGTGAAATATAACTTATTAACAACAACAAAAAAGCAAAACAAACATAAGCCAATAGTAACAAAAACACCAAGCAGTATATGGCGGCACGCTTYTAACGCATGCATACCAGATTTAYTGCCTAGTGAATATATAYTTTGCTTGCTCACACTGCTGGCGCGCGCTTACAACGTTAGTTCGCACTCGCTCTTACCGTACGCACAGCTCAGGTGCCCTATAGTGCGCTTATATACTAGCGTTGCGCCTATATAGTTGTGTTAACGGTCGCTGCGTGCTGCAAACAGCCGCGCTCTTGCTCGCACAGCAGCGCGCAGGCAAAAAACCTGTCAGACCACTGAGCAGCGACGCAGCGCTKCTAACACTGCAACAACGCGTTTTTCATTGGGTTTGGACACAATTTCAGCCAGCGTGCTGCAGTCAAACTGTGCGGCGCGTGATATGATWTCTAGAGAGCGCTGGTGATTGTGTGCGTGAGAGCGTTTTAGTAGTGCTGCCGTTGCTRCTTTCTCACTTGAAATTGGCAAGCGCGCGAGTGAGCGAACGACTTGGGCAGCTAGGGCCGATATGCTTATGTACAGTCTAAGTGGAAATTCGCGTTGTTCAGTGAAGGCGCGAGGGGCGGGTGCTTCTAACTGGCAGGCGTTTAATGTGCGATCGCATGTGGCGCGGCTATACTCGACGGCGCCGGTCTCAGTTAAACGACGTGGTCGGCCAGAGTAGCAGTGCGAAGAGTTATTGAACGGGCGCGCGCGTCTCTTTTACTTGGAAATTTTTATAGCATTTGACCGACAAAGCAAAACAAAAAAAAAAAACCGATAAAGAAAAAAAAACACAAGCGGTACTTGTATAGTGTATGAATAGTGGCTTGAACAAAGCAGATAGTGTTAGTGAAAAGAAGAACAAGCATGTAAGCTGAAACATTGTGAATTGCCAACGCGTTTCTCAACAACCTATCAATATTTTGTGACGTTTTGCTTATATTACGAGCGCGATTATTGCTGGAGCTGTTGTCGACAGCCACGCGCTTATATGTGTTCGCGTTGTGTTAGTGATTTTTAAAGTGTGTTTATGAWAGTAATAAGCGGCAGCCAACTCAGATTTATGCGCAACTGAACGCTAGCTTGCCGACGGCATTTCATTTGGAAACAACTTTTGATGTGCACATTTTACTCATCAACCGCGGCGTTCCATGTGCGCAACTGAAACAAATTTAGTGGGTGCCAGCTGCCATTGCAGCTTAAGCAAACGTMAACAGTCCAATGTCAACGGTCGCGACCACGCGCGCCACACTCACACAAAACGCATTATCCACGCCTGCKACGCCGACGCTGTCACCCGTGATTTGTGTCAATTCATCAGCATCGCTATCGCCGCGCACGTCGCCACTGAACGGACTAACGCCACACGCGCATACGCGCCCACCCATACTCGATCAGCTGTGCGCGCTGCGTCGACGTCGCATCGATATGCATCCGGATTGTATGCTGTTGCAGGCGCATGGCGTAACAAGTCCGTGTTTGAGCCCGAGCGCCTCTGTTTTGGCAGGTGAGAAGCACAGGCGTYACAGCGACACAATGTCCAGGGAGGCGAGCACGTTAGATGAGGTTGATATGTGCGAATCAATTGATTCAGCTGATGAAATGGATGTGGTGGGCGATGACGAGGGGATTSCTAAGGRGGCGGCTGAGCAAATGCGTTTACGTGAAATTAGTGAATTGGAGGMCAAAACCGCMGCCGCACGCTTAGCCGATGCGGCMGCAATACGCTGCGAAGAGGAAGTGGATACAGAGGCGGATGTGGAAGACGAAAATGACGCATTGAGTCTTTGCAGTGAGGACAGTGAACTGTCCGTGGGTCAGGAAGGCAGCAGCGCCATTGCTGCTGCTTGCCAAACAACACCTAGTTTTTGTGATTTTAACCAGCAGCGCCGCTTGTTGCTCAGCAATGTTGGTAATATGATGGCATTGTGCGCGCCGTCGGCTTTTAGCAGCGTACACGCACCGGCATCAGCGTGCGGCGATGGCAGTGACGCGCGTTCCAGTGCCTCAACGGACGATAATACTATGCAACAGTTGGATGAGGAGAGTGTCGGTAGTGCAACGAGCTCAGCGCTACAGCAACATGTACCGCTGCATGCGCAACCAGCGCCAAGCGCGCTCTTAGACCCGTATGTCGTAGCTAGCGCGCTACGCATGCCTGTGCCGGTGCTGCCGCGCGCCACYAATCATACGGCTAGTTTTCAAACGGAATTTATGCGTAAGTCACACATGTACGCCGAGGAGTTAATGAAGCARCAGATGCAGTTGATGGCGGCGGCGCGCGCYAGCGCGTTTACATTGCGCGGCACAGGCGTTACAGACACACTGACGCCGGATAGACGCGCTTTTACGCACATACCGGGCGTGCCGCAGCCAATGTCCAATTTCGCGGGCATACAATCCCAATTGACGGCCATCACAAAAATGTCACAATTAAGCGCTGCTGCAGCAGCAGCCGCTGTTGCTGTCGCAGCTGTAGCCAATAACAACCAAGCCACGCAACAGCAACAGCAAAATAAAACAAACATACCAAATAGCACGGATACGCTGAACAAATTGAGCGCTTTAACTACGGCGCATACACAACTCTCACCTACAACCGCCAGCGCCGTCTCGAGCCTGAGCCAGTTGCAGGCGCAAATGCAAGCGCATTTTCCCTATGCGCACGCCAATCATACCAATGATAACCTCAACAACAACAACAATCTAAATGAACCAGCGCTTAAATTTAGCATTGACAATATATTAAAAGCAGATTTTGGCCGACGTCTGGCGGAGGGCGCTGCCTGCATGGCTGTGTGTAATAATGTCGCGCGYGCAGCAAAAGCCATCACTACGCATAATAATAGTAGCACTGTGCAGCGCGCGCGTAAAGCGGCAAATACTTTAACCGCTGCTTGCGCCGCCAGTTCCTCTACCGCGATTGACTTAACACATCTCAGCGCTGCGACGTCCACAGCGGCAACCACAGCAGCGTCAGCCGCAACGCTAAACTTCTCACACACACTCGCGAATATTTGCACTAACAGCAGCGACTCGAATAGCACCGCGGTTAGCAGCAGCTTTGGCGCTACTTCTGAGCATGCTAAGTCACCCGCGAACGGCGAGTTAAGTACGGCGGCAGCGAAGTGCACATCGGCGGAGTTTGCCGCGAAGGCGTCGGAAGAGGCGAACAGCAGCGGTAGCGCTGTTAAATCCAGCGGTACAGGCGCGAGCGGCAGCGGTCCCATCGTTTGGCCGGCGTGGGTGTACTGCACGCGTTACAGCGATCGACCCAGTTCAGGTAGGTGCGCTGACTTGTGTTTAACGCAATGTGGGAATGTTTATGTGAAAGTAAAAAAGAAATTTATATATACATATGTATAATCAGATTTTTTTTAAATTTCTRTTTACCTATAATTTTTTGGAAAATTCGGATAATATTTTTTGTCATAATTCTGTATWGTATTATTCGATTTATATGTACAAAGAAGTATATCGTCATCTAAAATGCAAAACAACGTATATATTTAAAAAATGGAAATCGCTGTCAGATATAACAAGCAATATATAACCATTTTAAAACGAAAACTCAAATTTCGTTTCAATATGAGTGTATGATAACCAATATATAACCAATATATAACCACTTTATAACCGAAACACAAATTTTGTTTTAGTAACGTTTTTCTTTCGCCTGTAAATTTCTGACAAGTGACGTTATTTTGCATTTTAGGTGACGATATTCATGTTTTTTCACTTCAAAATAAGAACTTTTAAACAAATGTGGTCAAATGATAGAATAAACTTTGAAAAAAAAACAAAACGCAGACAATTTGGCATGCTTCGGAGCAAATTTTCTACTATTTTCATTGGAATATTATTCCATTGAAGCTTCATCTGTAAGAAAAATTATTGCAAGTTTGTGCTACTTTTTGATGTTTTGGAGGTCCAAATTGACCACAAACCGGTTCAAAACCGGTGACTGAGCTGGCCAGTTTAGTTTTTCGATTAAGCTTTCTGCAAAAAAGCGATTAGCCAGGTGAGATGTTTGCTTGTAGTCGTTATCTTGTTGAAAGGTAAATTATCTACCCCAAATTCATTTTCCTGCACTTATTGTCAAATTTTCGCCATCTACAACTACACAACCTACAGCAAATTGTGAGAAACAGCCCCAAACCCTGAGGGAACTTCCTCCATGTTTTACTAATGATTGTATACATTGTGATTTTAAGCCATCAGAGGGTTTCCACCCCACTTGCTAACCTTTCTTTAACTCCTTAGCTTCCTCCTCCTTCGTTTTTGGATTCATCGGACTAAATTCTTTTATCCCAAAATGTGGTTAGCATATTTATTTAGATATTGTTTTGCATTGAAAGTGTTCGATCAACTCTCTCGATGTAATTTCAGGGGTTTCAGCAACTTTTCTTCGTATAAGTCGCTCAGCGTGTAAGGAAATTTTGTGCCTCGGACCTCCACCGTATTGGGTCTGGTATGTTGTTACTTTTCTTGAAGTTTTCAAAAACCTTTTCTGTCCTTATGATCGAAATTAAATATTTTTTCTTTTTTTTTTTTAAACGTTGCACTTCTCTTCCCATCCTCTAAAATAAAGTTCCAAATTTACTCTGTCTCGATTTTATTTGTTTTCCGTATTTTTCACAAAGAACAAAACAAAAATGTATTTACCATAAAAGAAATTCACTTCATAAATTCGAATTTATGAAACATGTTGTAAAATTCAGTTTTAGCTTGAAAGAWATGAACCAAAACTAAAACTATACTTTCATTTGATGCGCACACATAGGTTCACCAGCGAAAGCAAATCATTCCCGATCGTGAAAATATTTTTTGCGTATAAATAATAAGTGCAAATTTTACTTCAACTGTTGATTTACATAACGGTGCATCTTCATGGTATGCTTTATGAATTTATTCGTAAGAGAAAATGTAGGAAGTAAATGAATGCTTTGAGGTTACTGCTATGTAATATATTGTATTATATTTATTTATACTTTCATTTGATCACTACTGTATATAAATAAACAAAATGAGTTCCTAATTACAAAMATTTTTTTTCCATAAAAAATTTTAATTTTTAAAAAAATTGCAATTTTATCTAGACCAGCGTGGATAATTTTTGAACGCCAAAAAAATTATAGTAGCATGAAACCGCTTTGAAACCACAGATAAAATAATAAAAATGTAAGAAAAATTAATTTACTGTCGATCTGAGGTCGGGAAGGAAGACGCGGGGCGTGGTTGAATTTTTATAGGTTAAAAACGGTTTATCGCAATTTCCCACAAAAGTATGAGTCCTATAAAAAAAGTAATACGGGAAAGTTTTAGGAAATTAAAAAATCTACAGCTTTTGTATCAACACCTCAAAATATATGTGAAAAAGTTGTTGGGGTTTTTATTTCGTCAGCAGAAATGCAAAACAACATATCATCAGAAAAATCTATTATTTGTTATTATTAATTATTTATTGCTTACGATTCATAACATCATATTAAAATATGTAGCTTAAAATTTTCTGCTGCCGCTGTCAGATATAACCAATATATATAACCATTTTTTTAACCCAAACTCCAATTTTCTTTCAATATGAATGGTTATATCGTATTTTCTTCGCCTTAAACTTATGAAAAGTGATGCTACGTTATGTAGCAGTTTAGGTGACGACAAATACATAGACACTATTGACCTTTTCTTTTTATTAACTTGAACTTGTATAAGATGTTTCATTCAAAGTTAAGGGACAGATGCTATACGAGTAAGCGGTCGAAATACTGCTACATGAATTTGTATTCAAATATTGTCACCTCAAACTCTCAATAAATTCGAATATGAGTATTTATTATTTATACAGTTAATTGCACAATTTGAAGGCTTAGGTGAGTTTGAAATTTCAAAAAAAAAAAAAAAAAAAAAATTTTTTAATGTTCTCCCAAAATTTGAAAGAGATCCAAGTAAAATTCTAAGAGATCGGCACTTATGAAGTTCGGCCCATCAGACCACGTGAGTGTAGCCCACCAACTTAAAATGAGTTTTTCTCAAAACTCTGTTTTTGAAGTCGGTGACACGATTTCTCGAAAAGTTGTGGACCGATTTAGTTCGAATTATGTACACATCTTTAAAATAACATTATTTAGTTATTGAACGAAGGTTGTTTTTTTTTGTTTCATTACAAGTTATTTTTTTAAGCCAATAAATGGCGAAAATTTGAACTGAAATTTTGTGTTCCAAGTCTGAGAAAAAAAGAAAAAGTACTTACGGAATAGTTTTCATTTTTTMTTTTAAATGAAACAATAATAAGTTATGCAGTTCACGGGCAGAGCACTTTTTGTGAGACACCCAGGGAGATGAGGTCTCAGCCACTGAATTTTCAACATTTTTATACAAAAATTTCAGGAGACATTGTTCTAATATGTACCTTTAATACGCCATTTTATAATTTTAAAATTTACCTTTTTTTGTAACTCAGAAACCCACCAAACCACTTAAGCTTCTGCTTTGATTTATAATCAAGTTATAACCAAAATTCACAATTTCGTTCAAAATGAGCACTTTCTATTTTATATCGTGTGTTTACTTCTTCTGTAAAATGTGAAAAATGATGTTATGTTATTTTCCAATTTACGATATTTAAATATAATAACTAATATTAATATAATGACATTATACCTAACATGACATTATACCTAACATGACATGTAATGAATTATACACTAATTTAAAGTCATGTTACGACTGTTATGTTAGAGACTGTTTCTTGCTAATTTTAGGCTGCTAAAGCCGAAAATGATGGTAAAAATTTTCTAACACCTAWGAGATTTTTTATGTTGTAGCTAAGGGGGCTATTACTAATTACTAAAATAATAAAAATAGCTGTATGTGTTGGAAAATTGTTGAACACAAATCCGTAATAAGTACACCTCAAATAGCGCACAGATCTCGAAGCACATCAGTCGCAGATTTCTTTCAGATTTGTTGAGTAGTGCTATTAAACCAAAAATTCAAATAATCCGTGTTAATTTCGAGTGCAAGCTTTTATTTTAGCGTTATTATTAAATAATATAAGGGAATGAAATGGGAAATTTCATTGCGTATGCRGGAAATAGTCTACTCATCCTGCTGAACAATTTTGGTTCTAAACCCGATTTCGCAAAAGCTAGTCTTTTAGGTGAAGTTTCATTTTTCGGAATTTTAAAAATTTCTTCGTCAGCTTGAGATATATGTAAGAATAAAATTTAACGCATAAGTACATTTCAATATTCTACTCATCATTTCGCGAAATCGGACTGATCGGACAACTATATCATATATCTCCCATACTACCGTTCATTCGCATATTTTATAAGGAAAATAAGGAAAATCAAACTACTATAACATAGATATCTTATACAAAGCATTATACCTCAAAAAAGTTTGTATAAACGTTATATGTATTGCATACATACATGCATACATATATATATGTATATGACAGTGCTACCACACAGCCTACTTTGAGGCTGCGAAGCGCCATCCTTTCGTRGTTGTCGCACTTGAAAGTGAAGTATGTGTTTCTCTATTCTCTATTTAACGCAAACCCAAGCGCAGCTAATTAAAAGYTTACGCGCATCAAATAATCATAACACTCAAACACGCATACATGCGCCATATATGGCGCATAGAAAAGGCAATAGTCCCAAAAACAACAAACAAACAATAAGTGGTTAAGCAATAAATAATACAACAAACGGCTGTGGTAGCGGTAGAACAACAAAATTACATGGTGCGAACAACCCCTGGTAAATATGTGTGTATGTACATATATGTTTGCATATCTTTATGCCTATGTGTGTGTGTGTGGTTCGGCAACACCTTTCGAAAGTTAAGAGAGCGCGCAGCTGCTACTTCTTATATGCGCTTTTATATGTAGGTGTGTGTGTGTGTGAGTGTTGCCACTGCGTTTAATAAATGTCAGGGGTCGCAAACWTACGCACACWTAYGCAACTTGCTCACATAAACAGCCATTTGCGCATTGAACGCMTCAAAAGTAAACCACACTCSTMTATATTTATATACATATGTACATACATAGATGRCWKGTATRTATGCAYATATGTGTATCAACTGATAATTTATGTACTCATGTTTGTACATTTGTTTACATACATACTCTAGCCACATCATTTAAGCTCATTATGCTAAGCAAACACTTATCAAGTACGACTTACGTAACTGCTGTCTTCCCCTAAATACCACTAGTTGTTGTTGCGGCTAGCACTCAACCACTTTGTACTTTGTACTTTCCACAAGTTTCATTTTCCTCCCTCACTTGCGCACTCTCACGCCGCTTTTCTTGTTTTCTGTCAAACGCTTACAATTATGGGTGCTTATGAATTTATTTTATGACACCGCAGAGTATTCGCATTTTGGTTGACTCATCCTGCCGGCTTTCTAGCTTATCCCTAATAAACCCAAATTGGCGTTGGACCACTAAAAGCTACGTCAAGCTCATATAAGTATATATRGAGTATGTGTGCGTGTGGTTACCTCGGTGTGGCAACTCGTAAAGTGGTGTTGAGAGTGGATAATTGTTTTTGACTTGTGATTTTTCAGTCGTTAAGGTTCCATGGTGGGGAGCTAATGTTTTTGTGCCCAAATTATGTGTGTGTGTGTGTGTGTGTGTTTGTATTCATTTGAGTATGTGTGCATATGTGTTTGTATTTCTGTTTCTTGTTGTTAATTTCACAGCACTTTGTCAGTTGGCGAAACCTTCTCGTTGGGTTGGACGGTATTTGGGGCCAAATAGCACTCATTAAGTGTAGTGTTTGCGAGTGTTAGTTGGTATGCAAGGAATGTGTTATGATTTATAACCTCGATTGTGTTGAGTAGAGATTTTTAGCACTTCAAAATTATTTTGTGTGTTATAAGAGCGAGCAATTATCTCGAGTATTTGTTCTATGCGAAAAATGTTTGCTTTAAATTCGTTTTTAAATAGATATTTTGGGTTTTTGAATATGTATTAATTATTTTCAAAACACAYTGTCACAAAATGTAACTGGGAAATTGTTAATAAAAAGCAAAATATTTAGTTATTAMTTTCAATTTTTTTTTCGCTTTCAAAGTAAATGTAATACACTTATGCCAACGATTTCGCCAGTCCTCGCTAACACTTTTCATGAGCACTTTTGGGGATGACCTTCTGTGAATTGTGTTGTATCTCTTCGGTTGACTGACAACGGATTCCACGAAGCGGCAATTTCAGTTTCGAGAACAAGAAAAATTAACATTGAGTCAAATCTGGTGTATACGGTAATTGATCGATGGTATTCATTGCTTTTTTTGGCTTTAAATTTGGTCACAACCGTGGCTCGAATATGATGTTCTTTTACAATTCCGGAAGTTTTTGACGGATGTTCTCACGTAAACGCCTCAATATAGGCAAATAAACTCTTTATTGCCTGTCTGTCTCCCCTGAACAAATTCATGTTGCACCAAACCACGAAAGTCGAAAAGAACAATAAGCATCACTTTGATTTTTGACCGGCATTGGCGCAATTTTTTTTTGGCTTCGGCTCGTTTTTTTCCTTCCATTCCGATGATTGTTGACTTGTTTGCATGTCAAACTTATAGACCTATGATTTATCAGTATTTATATTGCTCTCCATGAATGTGGGATCGCAAAGACACTTGTTTACTTTGCTTTATCGGAGCGAGTCGAACAACAACGCGTTTGAGACCAAAAATAACCACAAAAATCATTTGAACGAGTCGCGAGAGATGTTGTGTTCTCTAGCCATCTCTCCAGCACTTTCATGACGATTTTCAGGCACTATAACTTTTACTTTTTTTAAATTTCTCATCAGCCGAAGAAGTCGTAGGCTGTAAAAAACGGGGCATGTCTTCAACGATCTCTCGACCGTCTTCCTATTTTTATCTTGTAGAATAATTTTTAACTTTTACGGAATTTGCGGGAAACTTATCGTGCCATGATCTAAACACTCGGTGAAAATTTCAATTTCGAATAAAAAAATCTAAAGTCAAATGATCACATTTAAAAAAAAGGCCACTGGCTTTATATTTGTGGAAGTCTTTACTTTCTGATAGTATCAAAAATGTATATGATATATATGTAATATTTTTTCAGTATAAACTCGGCTCTGAAAGCTCAGAAAATGTAAAATAATCAATAAAAGTAGTAAAAGAGAACATAATCAACTTCAAACGGTGACAAATTATCAATGAAGAACCTACTTCTAATCCTCTGTATGTAATAATCTCATGGCAGCAAACATGTTCGTTCTGGAAAATTTAAATTTTTGGGAAACCAAATCTTCACACATGTACATGTCCCACATGTGTGGGATAAAAAATGTCATTTGCTTCAAACAGCAGTTTCGATGTGAAATAGAAGATTGCGAAATATTCAAAATGATTTTGTTTGTAGAACACCTTAACTGAAATCATTCGATTTGTTAAGATGGAATCATTCGATTTCGACAAAATCACAACAATTTCATTCGTTCACTAAAATTTGTCTGTTAGAGATTTTTCGTTCTCAATAAACACTTAGAATAACACAATTGCTTTTTACTAAACTGCCTCATATACCCGACTACAAGTAGCGTTTCTCGAATATATTCGCCAAAAAAATATACTCAAAATTCCTCATGTCAACATAAATTTATTTTCAACTTGTTCGATAGTCAGTCGATTTTACAATCACTTATATACTTTTTTTATTAAACATTTGCAAATACACACATATATATTTTGTCGTTCATTCGATTAATTAACCCAAGTAGCGTGAGTTGTCAATTGGCAGCAGCCAAAGTTGCATATTCCTCAATACATAAATATTCCGGTACTAAACCAATGAAAACATAAAAAATTTTGACGACTCTCATTTTAGTTTATTGCCATTTTAATTGGCAGTTGGCGCGTTTTATGCCGCACATCTGCATTTTTCGGTGTGTCGAAATTTTGCATTTTTGATTGCATTTAATTGCGACAATATCATACTCGAACAAAACCAACAACAAAGTTAAGTCTCATAAAAACATTTCACGATAAAGCCAAACAATTTGGCAATTCAAGAAAGGAAAAAAAAAAATTTGTACTAAAAAAAGAGACGTATCATGTAAGATGCAGTATTAGATATAGACTAAGGAATTTGTGACTAAAAGTGAATTAAAATAATTTTAACTGTTGAGTGCACTAAATTATTTTGTGTGATATTCTAGTCTTAATGGCCGAATTTCGTGCGTTTTTTGAAATTTGCTAAAGAGCAAGCTTTTGATCTTTTTACTATCCATTTGTAAATTTTTCTTGAAGAGTACATAAAATTAAATAATAATAAAAAAAAAACGGAAAAATTTTCGTTGAGTAGATAAAAAGGGCTGTGTCCACGTTGCCATGATTTCTACCTTTGTGAAAAATAAAACATTGATGAGTTCTTGATTAGCACGAATATCTCAAGAAGCTATGAAACTGAAAAATAAAATTTTTTAAACGTTCGTGGCTTAACAATACAGGTCGATTTCTTCATAATTTTTTTAGTTTTGTCGAATTTTTTAAAAATATTTATTACAAATTTAAATTTTTTGYTGCTTCATGTGATAGASACATATGTATGTATATACATATAGAAGTAAATCGACTGATTAGAACTTAAAATATCGGGGCAACCGCATCAAAAACGTAATTTTGAGAAAAGCGGATTTTAAAGTTCGTTAAAGTCCAGTTGCCATGACACTAAAACGGCTATAACTTCGGAAATAATTCGAACTTTGAAAAATCCTTTTAGGGAGACATTTTTCGAATAAGAAAGAAATTTAAAAATTAGTTTTTTGATAGCAGCAGTTTAAATATTCATTTTTGATTTTTTTATGATCACCCTATGCATAAATACGTGCATATACATACATATAATTTTTGATGAAACTGTCGGCAAAATACAATTTTTCTCAAAGGGAGTAAAAAACATATGTATACATACATACATATGTATATATACAATTTCCACAAAACTCTGCCGCCTTCAGCTTGGCTCAGCGCTTAATCGACTTAATGGCCGTTTCAACACTTTTAGGCAGCCACCGCTARAGGAAATATGAGAAAAAAACTTAACTCGAAACTTCAACACTTATCACACTCACCGTAATTGAGCATTTCTCCGCYGTAGACAGACTTGGACTTGGTCTAGGGCTTGCAAAAAAAAAGACTGACAATAAATTAGGCAAAATGTTGCACTTGTTGTTGCTGTACGACTTCTGGCTCTGGCGACCGCTAAAATGATGCAGCAATTACCTTTTTTCCACTGCTCCGTGAAAAAAGTAGACAACACGGTGGCGGCCATGGCGAATCGGCATTTCATTGTATTGAGGGAGTAGCCATGAAGTGACTAAGGTGCAACTAGATACATATGTATGTATATAGCATAGGTATATAAGTAAATATGTGCATAGGTGGTAATAGCGTACAAAAAAAAAAAAAAAATGGTTTTGTTTGTAGCAGAGCGTAACGGAAGTTGGAAAATTGCGCAATTGGGAAAATTGAAAATCGTTTGTTTACTTTTGGTAGCCACTGTTCCAGTGTGGCGGGGAAATTGCTTAATGACGAACACTTTGCGAATGGAAAATTGTGCCCAGCAAAATGTCGAGCGGAGAYAATGTAGCGGTAAGGTGCATGGAATAGTCGCAGTTGTGGTTCAAGGTGCCCTTGTCCGTGAGCGTGGGGCATTTCAATTGCTTGGCAGCGGTAATTTTAAAGTAKCTGCACATTTGCACGGTTTGTTTGCACAACCAAGTGTGGCAGTGACAGKTGGAAATGTTGCTCTTTAAAATGGTTGGAAAATGGAAGCGAACAGTTTCGCATAAAGTGGATGAGAAAATGGTCTAAACTAGCTAGGGTGTATTATATGTGTTCTTATGTGGTATGTTGAAATCATTTTCTTTCTTTAAGYAAAATGTTGAGAGAAAATTTTAGGRAAATGCTGGTTGATARGCATTACTCGTTGTGAACGGAGGTATTCACTACCGCAAGAAATGATCTTTCCTTTACTCACAGGTTCCATCTTACAACTAGAGTTAGACCAGTATTTACATAATAAACAACAAGCTTACAAATTCAAATAWAATGTCAACACGTCAGAGTTGCACGTGACTGATATAATGTTCCTACGTATGATGTTCTGACAAACGGAGCAGGCTCGCCGAAGAACAAAGTAAGAAGCCCAACTCCCATAACCCCTAGAGGGAATTTACATCACTTCATACGCAGCTGTTGGTGCGATATTGACGTCAGGCAATGGATTTGTTGTCATGTATGCAACAGTAAACATTTGCCTTACCTAGTTTCTCCCTTCTTTTCTGCAAGAAGCCTGACACTCTTACTCAGTCCATCCACAATGAGCATATTCACGAACTGGACGAAGGAGTACACAGTGGATCTTAATATCACAGTCGATTGCATTGAAATTCGGATAGGAAACAGCCTGAAGAACCCTAAGGCTTCTTTATGCTTCTTCACGCAAACGATTATTGCCAAAGTRCAGAGCAGCAATAAAATCTTCGAGYCGCTAGTCGCCAGCACCTGAGGAAGGAATAAAGAAGCGTTGCAGGCAACATACATAGGATATTAATGAAATTCTTTATTACTGTGAAAGTACATTCGATGSCATCATGTATAGAGCTCGAWTTCTTTTGCATGGCCACCACGGCCACACTTGCAGAAATCCAGAGCTGAGCCTAATTTTTGACGATACTGCTGCAATTTCACGTTYGATATTCGTACAAAGTTCATCAATCGTCGCACATGACGTACATAGCTCCACARGAAATAGTCTAACGGCGTCAAATCGCACGATCGAGGCGGCCRATTGACTTTACCATTTCGTGAGATGGAACGTTCACCAAACTTGATTTTCAATAAATCGATTGTGACATTCGCCTAAATGAACAAATATTAGCAAATATAAGAGAAGAAAAGAAATTTGAGGTTAATTAAATTCAGTTCACTTACATGTGGATAATTTCGTGTCCTTGACGTTCGTTCAATTTTATCAGCTATTATTATATGTAAACAACAACTAAAATTTAGTAAAAATTTCTTTTGAAAATTGAATTTCTATAACCAAACTAATCTCCACGCATATTAATGCCAAATTAATAACCCACTGAATATATATAGCATTCAATGTGTTGTAAGTTAATTTCGCACGAATCGATGCCCTACCTTCCACATGCAGTGCCACCTTTGCACGTTGTGTCATGTGGCGCATTTTGTTGTTGCCGCACATGCTTGCCACTATGGCACATACGCTTGTAAAGTCTAGTTCTATTTTGCCAATTATTATTGCGTTTTCGTTATGATTGTTGTTTTGTTTTTGCTGTAGTCGTTATTGCTGTTGACGTTTGCAACTGCGTATTGCGGTTAAATTATCTGGCCGCTGCTGTCGCTGAAAATGACATTTTAATGAAATGTTCAAAGTTTAGTTGCAGATGTTTTTATTGTTATTGGCGTTTTTTTTTCTTTGCCTCAATTCGTTTATTTGCTGTCATGCGCCATATTTGTCGGTTAAATGAAAAATTAAATACCTCACTTAATAATTACGCACTCGGCCATATGTATGCATTTCTGTATTTATTGCTGTGTGTGTGTGTGCAGTTGCCTTTGTGTTGGCAGTTCAATGTGTTTGCAAGGTGAAACGCTATAATTGGCTGGCGGAGTGACATTTTTATTTGCAAAATGCTGTGCAAAGAAATGTTAAAATTTGTTTTCTTTATATATATATGTATACGAGTAAGTGTGGCACTAAGTTTATGTGCATTTGGAAGAAGATTCCTCGTCGGGGTACTGTATTTTAGTCTAGTTTCGGGTCTCATTCTGCCTTTTCGTTGCTTGGCGYGGMGGGTAGTGTGTGGAATACTTTCAGAGCTGGAGTGTTTTCATCCATTCGGACGACATGAACTAGGCTGCGTAGCCGCCGTCTCTTAATTCGCAGAACTCTGTCAATTCAATGCGGTATTCGTTGTTGCCAATGCGTAATGGAACATAAATCTGCCGCAGAACCTATCTTTCGAAGACTTGTAACGTCGACCTATCAGATGTTGGAAT